GATATAGAAATCATAACAATTGAAATAAATAATAATAAAAAACAATACATGATCAGAAGTGAATTATTTAAATTTACGTCATAACCAAATAACTTGTGGTGATCGAATGAAAGAAGAATCGCTGATATCACGATTGTGGAGAAACAAGTTAGTGGGCAGTTGTTTACTTTACCATAAAAATGTCTTAACTTTATTTTTACGATCTTTAAAATTTGCATAAATAGAGTAGATATTTTATCATTGCTATTGAGAAATAGGTACTGCATAAATAGAACTTGTTTTTAGTTGAGTATGGAACAAAACTAATTTTTTATGAAAACTGTTGTTGCTTTTCAAAAGGAAATTGTGGATCATTCAAAAAACATAAAATTATAAACAAAATGTTCTACATTCATCAGCTGGGAGATGTTGATGTTAAGAAACACCTCATCAACTAAAAGGTAATTATGTATTTTAAATTTACGCAGACTGTAATATAATTTTTATAATTACATACTTTATAACTTCTCTGCAATAAGATTTCGAGACAAAGTTTTTTAAACAAAAAAAATAGCTCTTTTAATTAATTCCTCACTCTTTTAATAAATAATCACTAAATTAATCACACTCTTGTAATATTGTATTTTAATAATAACAACAATGTATTTCAAACTTGTAAACATTTTTCGTGAAGAGTCAGATTATAAACAATGCTTTAAATGACACACTTAATAATTGTTTAAAAAATTGTTTTTAGGTCATGCGATTAAACGATAATAATATTTGGGAAGAAAATGGACTTATTGCAAATAGACTTAAAAGAAATCTTGAAAAGGATGAACAAATATGTGCTTTTGACCGGTACACGTTTGGTATTGCATGGAGTCCTCCAAAAACATGCTTTCATCCTCACCATCTAAATATAAATAGAAAAAAATCTCCCGCTTTATGGGCGTCACCTATACATGTCGTCATATCAATGTCAAAGCGATACAATGAAGTATTTTCAGTTGGTGCAATGCTGTGTTTTACCCATTTAAAGCAAGAAACTGCTTTATCTAGAGTCAACGAAAACACCAATTTATGTACAGAAACACAAACACAACAAGAACAAACATATATGACACCTGCTACTCCAGATGAAGAATTTGATCCCGGTGAAATTAATGTTTCACAGGAGATTTTGGACGAATCTCTAAGAAGCCGTGAGAGTGTAACTGAGGTTCTTAATGCAAGTCCAATAAAATTTAGATTAAAAAGGAAGTTCGAATATCTGGAAGATACTACTAAAGATAAGTTAAAACGCAAGTATGTTCGCCTAGAAAACTTATTAAAGAAAAAATTTGCGGAAGCTGTTGCTCCTGGACAAGAGGAAATACTTATAGATTTTCTTAACAGTAAAAATGTTGATGAAATAAATAGCCCTCTCCCAATTGAAATTATTCGTGCTCAGAAAGTATATAAGCAAAGTGATTCCATGGGAAAGTTAGTTATCCTCTCATTATTAGACCATACCAAGTATACCAAAAAGTTTATAATGAACACATTTGAGTGTACCAAACATCGTATAGAAACAGCAAGAAAATAACATGTATCTCATAAAGGGTTGGCATTTCCAGAGAAGAAAGTATTCGTCCGATCTAGTCTTGATCAAACAAAGTGTGAACATTTCTTAGACTTTATATTTACAAGCGGTATTTTGCATGATGTTGCTTATGGAATAACCAAATTAAAATACGACAGCGGTGAAGAACAAAAGATAGTGTGTGCAATACTGACAACAAAATATAGCCACGCTATCATGTTCTATCGAAAAAGTTGTAGTGAAAACAATTACATACCATTCATCTGATTCAAGTTTGTGGAAAGTATTGCATGCAATAAAACCTTCAAGTCGAAAAAGCTTAGCTGGATTAGATGATGTTACTGCTTCAGGCATGAATGGTTTTCAAACATTACAAAAATTGGCACAAAGATTTAGTTCTAAATCTCTCGAAGCTGCCCTTGAAAAAGGAAAAAGGTATTTGAAAACAAGTTATCAAACCAATTGTAGTGTCAATGACTCAAACATTTCTTCTCATAGCTCAAAACATGCCTTTATGTTTTTATTTTGTTTTACAAAACAGTGCTCTAAAATAAAAGGAATATAAATAAAATGTAAAAATAATTTCAGAATGACATTATATAAAACTTTACAAGTTTTATTGAATGTAAGCAAAATTAAACAAATCATAAACTCTTTATTATATTATTTTAAATGTTGCGCTAATACTTTTAGGTATCTATAACTGGGATCAGAGTTAATTGTATGATTAACGGGCAAGAGAAGAATACTTTTCGCTGGCCAGTTAGTACCGAGGAGATAAATAACCAATCTGATAAAATTATCTGTTTAGTAAATGCTCCTTTTCTAATCAGTGGTTGTGGCGATTATTCATTATCCGAAGAAGACTATAATACAGTCATATCATTATTCTTAGAGAAACTTACTGCAGCAGAGTAGAAATTATGTGTGATGTGGTGGATAATGTGTGTAAATGACTCTATTAATAAATGAAAAACTAATTTTTAAATGGAAAAACATTTAAATGTTTGATTTATGTTTTATTTAATTAGCAGTATAGTTATCTTGATGTTAGATTTTTGTTCAGTTTTTAATTCATGTTATATCATGCGTGTGACAAAATCACACGAATTTTTTTTATTATTATGCTAGGACCTTTTTGTATTGACAGTTGGATATGTTTACATTTTTACAAAACTAAGCGCCTCTGCCGTAATAGCTCATTTTGTAAGTATACTAAAACATTTTTTTCCAATTTTAAGCCTTAATATATTAATAGGCCTTAGGTATCACATAACTTTCTTTGCATTTTTAGACTCATTAACTTTGATAATTTCAAATCCTAAAAGAAAAATTGTGTGCAACACTTCGCCGCTAGAATTAACTCCGATTAAAAATTGACAAAACTGATTGATTTTGTACTTTTGAACTATGATAATTAGCCAACCGCACAGTGTCACGCAACTTTTTTATATTTTTTGGAGAGAGCTTTTGGGTTACGTCTGATTTTAACTACAAAAGCTATGTGCAACTTTTTGCCTTGCCAAAAAAATGGGTTCAAAGGTGGCAAAAACTAAATTTCTAAAAATTTTTAAAAAAATCTCAAAAATTTAAGCCCAGATTCCAAGTGAACGAAACATTTTTGAAAATTTTTTTTTTCCTTAACAGGTTTTCTCTATATTCTGATCAATATATAAAAAATTCAAGCAATTTGGACGAGGTCACTTCCACAGGAATTTTAGGAATTTGCCTGATTCTTAGAAAAAACGGCTCTTAATCACTACACAAATTATGTTTACACATTTTCACTAATGTTTTTTTCCATTATTAATTGCCTTTCATTGTTGTTATCAGATTTTTTATTTTGTGATCCGTTTTTTGTTTTATAAGTTTTTGTCTGGTTATATCTTCGTTTATATTGGTGTTTATAACACAATTTTTTTTTTTTTTTAATTTATTTTTATTGTTATTATTGTTGTGGGTGTATAGCCTGTCTTATTTATTTTTAAATATTCCTCTAATTAATCTTTATTTTTGTCTTGACAACTGTCAAAATATGCTTTGTCTAATAAATAATTCTCTTTTATTCTAATGTACTTCATTTCTTCCCTCAGGCGTTCACTGCTCGTTTGTGACCATTCGGCGAATTTTATTTGCCAAAGTTTTTAAATAATTTGTTAAAAATTTGTACTTTGTTCTCACTCTCATTTAATTTTACAACTAATTATAAAATTCTTGATTAGAATTGAATTTATAAATTTCTAGAATTTTTAGTATTATTTTATATCTCTATATTTAAAATATAACAATCTGTTTTTAAATCCAGCAAAAGTTAAAGTTCATTGCAACGCAAAATTCATTCACAACGCAAATTAAAATTCTGGAGAGATATAATAAGTTCCTTGCCAGAAAAACTTTCTTTAAGAACGTAACAAACCTATAGGTAAACGGGGAAGAAAAAGATAAAGTTCGAGTAGCAGCCCTCAGAAACAAAGGATCCCTGGTTCAAATCCCACCTCTGGGCAAGTTTTGCGATATCGGTTAGGAAGGAGGCGTGAACTTCCAATTAAATACTCATCCGCGGTGCTCTGTGATAAGACCGTAAAGGCTTCTTGGGGAACCTAAATAATAAAAAAAAATAACAAATAAATAAATGAGTAGTTGAGATATGTCTTATTTTATAGTTATATTATCTATGACTTTGATATTTATACGTAGTATCGAGGTTGTTAAAAACGATTACTTTATGTAGATTGCGAAAATTGATAAGAGACTAATCCACTTCGACTACAGCTTTCAAAGGTTAAAGCTACATTTTAAAGTTTTCTTTTTCCAACGCAAAGACACCATTTTGACTTGCCGCTGGAATAATTATACTTCTAAAACTGTACCACAATTTTCAACGATTTTCGGCTTCGTTTTCCCACCAGCTAGCTTATTATACCTCCTTGGAGCTGCTTCATTGGTATTTAAGTGAGAGCTATGGTTACTCTTAAAACTATGGTTGTTAAGTGCAGAAAATTTATAAGGAAAATACTGTTTGCTCTGAAAATGAGCATAAGAATATGTTGTAAAAAAAGCTAATTATATATATATATAAATATATATATATATATATATATATATATATATATATATATATATATATATAATAACTTAAATTTTTTAAAATTAATTACCCAGTGGGCATGGGACGTAAAAGGACGTCTTTTAAACGTTTTAAACGTCTTCATTTGAACGTCTTTTGAACGTTTTTTTGAAATTTTTTTTATGTTCCGAAAGTAATAAGGAATTTTAAATACAAATATTTCTTATCATTATAAAGATTTATTTTCTTGCTAAAACTTATTTTTTGGCATTATTTGACAGGCAAGTGGATGATTTATATATTTTTAAAAGGTGTAAATTTGATGCCGTTTTGGTACTTTGTTTTAGGTTTTTTACAAAAAAAGACTTATAAAAAGAAAAAAATGTATTGACTAGGTAAAAGTTATTATTTTTGTTTCATATTTGGAATTCATTGTCTGTCTTATTATTTATCCACTTTAGGCTTTTCAATTGTGGCTCAACTGCTTCAGATTTCACATAAGATTGACTTTCCAGCATTGAGTTTTTAATCTGAAATTGAAGTTTTTCCATTGTGTTTATCACTTTATCAATTTTCTTGTTTATTTCGTTTGTCGCTTTTATAAAATCATTTTCTTGAGACAAAAGTTTATTTTCGCGAGAATAAACTTTCGATTCGTTGTAATAAACAGTTTGAGGCGAACATTTTGCATTAATCCACTCATAATGTTGAATAAGCTGACTGCGGGACATATTAATTTCTTCGTTTATTATAAATGCAGCTCGTAGCATTAAAGCATTTGCTTTAGCATTATCATACACGCGTTGAAAAGTATTGGACATCATAGCTATAAGTATGTTCAATATTATAACTACAGCAAAAAAAATAAAAGTAGCGGTTAATATTTCTGCTAATACTGTATCTTGATTAGCAATTCCATCGTAACTATAGCTACCCATTAGCGCCATTTGAAAAATATTATAAAATAGTTGTAGCTTCCCAACTGAGTAATCTGCAATATTGTACATTCCAAAATTTATATAAAATAGAGCTGTGTAAGGAATGAAAATATGCATCGCTAGATATAGTATCGTTAGTGCGTCGTTTACAATATATCCTAACATTACCACAAAAACACCAAGTAGTTTGAATGGACGTGCAAACTTAAGAAGGCGAAGCCACATGCACACCATTAGAGCTGAGGCTGAATATTTTTTTGTTGTCAATGAATACTTGTTTTGTCTCGCCATTTCAATTAAATGTAAAGATATACTGAATGCCATCAAAAAATAAGTAACCCAGTCAAAAATGTTCCAATAATCTTTTATATATGATAGCTTGGAGTTTTTGAGCTCGCGTATCTCTTGTTTTAAGTAAGTACGTTCTTCTGGCCATTTTTTATGACAATATTTTAAATCTTTACGAATTTCTTTTTCTCGCCATTTTTTATACTTTTTAAACCTGGTTAGAGATTTATAGAAATCTTTTACTTCCAATAAAATATTTATTGCTAATGTGTCTACTGCTATAATCTCGACAATAGGTCCCCAATATTCTCGTTTACCTGTATACATTGAACTTTTTTCATGTGGCATTGTACACATTAGTAATGTCCAAAATATTACAAGTGCAAAATTAGCAGCAATACTTTTTAGAGCACTACATTTTCCAAACTTTGCCCATTTAACTTTTATTAGTTCATTCATTGCCGGGTGTAATAAAATTTCGTATTGTTTCATTTCCACTGTGATCTCTAAAGGTGACTTTGCAAAACACGATGTCTCGTTTATTGGTAAAGTAAGACAATTTAAGTTAAAGTGCTCTGTGCGTGATTTGCGATCTATGCTGTGGAACTGGTCGAGCGCAAGTAAAGCCTTAATTAAATGGAAAAAAAATTATACAAAATCAAATTTTATAAAATGGAAATGAAATTAAAAACAAACAAAAAATTAGATTTAAAAGTAGTTACATTATTTGGCATTTTTTTAATAAGAAATACCATCACAGCCATGTTACTACTATCTTTAACACTAGCATCTGCTCCATTTTCAATTAAATATTTTGCTGCAAATGACCTATCAAGCTCTGCAGCTAGCTAAATAAAAGAAAAAGTTAAATAGATTTTTCAAGTTTTTACAAAAGCTTTGTTTTACAAACTAATGATCAATATTGTGTTTTTTAATGTTTTCCAAATTTTTTTAAATTGCACAACAAAAGCTGCTTTTAGCAAAATACGGCAGTAATATTTAAAAGTGTTATACAGTTTTATCCTTTGATAATATTTAAAAATATTATTTCTTTATGCTTTTTTAATAAAATATCTATACTGGTATCCATTATGCTGATTTTCTTTTGTTATACAAAAAAGTTGTATTATTATTAGTTTTTTTCTAATTCTGATTCACTCCGAACAAGGCTGCAAGCAAGCACTATTAAGTTAGAAGTTACAAGGAAAAAAAATAGAGTTAAATAGCAAGGAAACGATTGACATAAAACATGAAAAGTTGCAGATTGTATTAGTCAGGAAAACCTTTAAGATGGGAGAGAGTTCCAAAGGTTTGAAGTGCGGGGAAAAAAACTAGACGAGTAAAAGTTTTTAGAGCACGCATTGCCACATACAGTAAAAGAATTAGACTTTGATGAATGACGAGTCAAGCGAAAAATAATTTTTAGATTTTTTGATAAATTTAGATAATAGATTTGCAGAGTAAGAAAATGGAATTAGGAGTAAGATAATGGCAAGCATGATAAAGAGAAGCATTCCCAGCGGGCACAGACGTCAATCAAACGTCTTACGGACGTCTTAACTAGGTCGCGACGTCTCAGACCAAATTAGGACGTCCTAAAGACGTCTGGTAAAGACGTCTTTGTTAGGACGTCCTTGTGACGTTAATATAAAGACGATACTAGGACTTCCATATTAAGACGTCCTATTGACGTCGCTAAGACCTATTTAGACGTCCTAATTAGACGTCCTAATTACCTTAGAAATAAGTAGCAAAATTAATATTATCAACTTGGCGCATACAATATTATGCGCTAACTCGGTTAATTAAATATGTCTACTTGTTTTGGTTGATTATTTTGAGATTATTAATTTTGTTTAGTTATTTATCGTTTAAAGATACTTTTTAATTTTCTATATTCTATACTATATGATCTATAAACTATAATCGATACAATATTTAAATAAAAGAAAATTGAGTTTAGTTATTAAGTTACAAGTATGAGGAAATTTTAACAAAAGTATTATAACAAGTATGAGGAAATTTTAACAAAAATTTTAATGAGGAAATTTTAACAAAAGACATCAAAATTGCACCAAGACTTTTCACTTTGTGTTTTATAGAATAGTAATGATATTTTGTGTGTCTGTGTTATATATATATATATATATATATATATATATATATATATATATATATATATATATATATATATATATATATATATATATCCTTATAGTGTAGTCAAAAGAGTCTTTTAATGTAAAAAAAGTCTCTTTCGATTACATTTTTAATTACCTCGTCTCTTAAGCTGTATTTGATTGTCGTCGAAATGCCAAAGCAATTAAATTAATGCGGAAGTAAATAAAATTTTATTGTTTTTTAAAAAATTTTTAAAAAACCGCAATAATAACGACTAGAAAGTGTTTTTTAATTAGTGGTGTTTTTATTTTTGTTTTATTAAAAAACATTTTTAAAACATGGGTAAATGTTGCTACATCCACTATCTTATAACCTGCTGCTACAAGGGAGTGTTTCTACATTGACTATCTTACAGCCTGACTCGCAACGGAGTGCTGCTACATCGACTGACAAATAGCCTGACTCGCAACGGAGTGCTGCTACATCAACTGACAAATAGCCTGACTCGCAACGGAGTGCTGCTACATCGACTGAGGGTTTGGTTTGGGTAGGCAGTCTATCATTTAAAAAAAAAAAAAAAATTGAGTTTTTAAATTTTTTCTGGTCTAATTTATTAACGCGCTCTTTAAAACTACAGTTTATGGGAAACTCTTTTTCACTACCATGCAAAAGTATATATATATATATATATATATATATATATATATATATATATATATATATATATATATATATATATATACACTCTATATAAATGATCTTCCAGAATCTCTGAAAAATATTACAAAATTTCATGCTGTTGACACAAAAATCATGTCAATTAGTTCTTCTGATGAGTTACATAATAAACTACAGTGCGATTTAAACTCTGCATATGCTTGGACACAAGACTGGCTGCTTAGTTTTAATATTGAAAAGTGTCTAGTTATGCACTATGGCTATAAAAATTAGAAATATCCAATTTATATAAATGGTTGTAAACTCAACACATCAGATTCAGAAAGAGACCTAGGAGTGATTTTTTCAGATAACTTGAAGTGGAAAAATCAAGTATTATCGAGTGCAAGCAAAGCTAATCGCATGTTGGGCATAATAAAAAAAGCCGCTACAACAAGGAGACATTATACAACTATAAAGAATTTTCAAAGGTTATGGTAAAGTTGAATTTAAAAAAATTTATTCATTTAAATCAAATTGTACTTGTGGCCATAGCCTGAAATATTCTAA